TCACGTGGGTAAAATTATTAACAACGCGCGTTTATTTAAGGATCAGTATTTTTACAAAGAACTCTCTGTCTAATTTGGTAAAATGAATACGTTTTTATTTTCAGATCTTTATTTCGAATTATTAAATATTTGATAAAAGATTCGTTTATTCATTTCTTGCTTAATAAGACCTTGTTTAAAAATTTAAATTATGGAAGACATACATGAGATTCTTCCGAAACATCGCATTGAATTTTTGATTTAATTTGAATTAACTACCTACCCGTTCATTTAACTCTAACAATTAGCTTCCAATGATGAATGATGAACCTCAGATCTTTAGTAATAGAGCTTCTTCGATAGCTCCATAAAAAAACGTTGAAGTTAAATAAACCAAAAGTAAATATATCTTGATTAGTTGTGAAGTGATCAATAAAAATCAAAAAATGCATTTATTATAATTATACTATAAAAAAATATATATAAATGATAAACTTTAATATTGATATACGTGTTACGTTTTATAATTGACCTATTTATGCTAAATACGTAAATAATATCATTTCAAACATGTGCACCACCGAATGGTCTTATTTACTACGTTAACCTTGCTTACTTTTATAACCATCTTTAACAATGGTCTTTTTCTTTTCAAATATTATCCCTTCATTTTCATTTGGAAATAATAAAGGTCCCATCCTTATTGGTTTAATTTTTTTATCGCCAACTTTTCTAATATTATATTTCAATAATAAGTAATGCAAAGCAACTTTAATTTCGTTTACCGCAAAAAAACGTCCCGGACAAGCATGTTTACCAAAACCGAACGTTAAGAAATTCTTTTCAATACGTGACGCAGGCGATTTACTTTTCAAATGTCGGAATGCATCAAATTCTTTCGAATTTTGACCATATAAATTATCATCATGATGAATGTCATGTACACGAATATAAACGTTTCGACCTAATTTATATCATTAAATTGTAAATTTTTTAACAATTTTAGTTCAAATATTTCTCTTAAACAGAATATGAATAAAAGAATTACCTTTTGGAACTTGATGTCCGCTTGAAAAAGTATAATACGGGGACATTAATTTATGTGGTAATAAACCTAAAACAAGAAAAAATAGGATTTATTTGTTCCAGCCTTTTTTTTTTTTAAAAAAAAAAAATGTAACTTGATTTGGAATTCAAAAACCCATTCATACCGGCATTTACTCTAAATGTTTCTTTAAGCATACTATCTAACTTTTCCATTTTAGAAATTTGTTCAATAGAATAATATTCATTTTCGTTACTTTTAAACAGTTGCTCTTGTTCTTCTAGTAATTCCTCGTGAATCTGCGGGTTATTTACAAATTCTTAAAAAAAAAAAAAAAAATTCTCTTTAATATATCTATATATATATATATATATATATATTTAAAAAAAAAAAGGTCTTTACCTTGTATAGCATGAGTAATAAACGTTGACGTAGTGTGTATAGCTGCAAATATAATTAAAATTACATAATCTGTGATGATATCGATATCTCCACCATACATTTCAATATACTTTTGTAAGAGATCAACCTAAATAAAGGAAAAAAAAAAGGTCAAGAATTATCTTAAAATAACTCAGTTTCTAAATATAACATAATTACCGGGGGAACATAAGCACCGTCAAGTTTCTTCATTTCACTTAAACGTTTCTCAACCACTGGTGTAATCTTTCGTTTAATGAGTTCTCTATGATATTTGAAGGGATTACTTGAATAACGAAACAACATTCTAAAAATGAATAAAGTTAATTTTAGATAATTGTGGCTAGATAAGAACTTTTAAGATCAAGCATATTTTACTTACGTTACAAATTTCCTGTGCAAGTTAGGATAAATGAAATTTAAAATAGGTGGAATTTCTATATACGAAGCAATATCATTTACGGCATAAGCGAATGAATTTATCAATTCTTTATCATCAGATAATTCTTCGGCCACAGATGCGGTAACAGGTTTTGCGATAATGAATTGGAAGGATTTTAAAGGGGGTTGTAAAACTAATAGATGATGAAAACATTATTATAAGAATTAAAAAATAAAACATAATAATCTTGGACATCTTGGACTTCCTTTCTTACCTTTACCGTCTCCAATTATTTCGTCAATAGATTTAAGTAATTGTCTTTGAACTCGATCCGTATAAAATTTTAAATCTCCTGACAAATTTTTTTGAATTACCGAACCCAAAGTATTTAAAAAAACGTTTGGGCGACGCATAAAGTCATGCAAAGGAAAAAACTTATCAAGCGTAATTCACGTGAATTTGTTAAATGATGGGGATGATTGTTAGGAAAAATTGGCTTTGTGATCTTTTAATTTATAAATACCTCTCGAGTAGCGTCATTGAAAGAAAAATCTTTGTGATTTCTGAAGATTTCAGGTGTATGTTCACCGGCGACTAAGGTTATAGTTTGACCAAAGACATATAATGAAAAGATTTCTCCGTACTTTTCATGACACTCTTTAATAAATTTTGAATTGTCTTTAAAATATTCAATAGTATGTCCAATAATTGGATATTTATAATACGCAAGAGGGGGTTCATTCTAAATAATCATTTTTTTTTTTTTAACAATTTAAATTTAATAGGGAAATATTAAACATTATAAACATTAAATCTCAATTTACCAATTTTATTTGTCGTTCCCGACGCATTAAAATAAATAAAATCAAAAAGGTTAAGGATCCAAAGACAAGTTCAATATAAGAGAATTCCATTTTTTTTTTTTTTTTATGATTATGATATGAATTTTACCACTGATTATATACTCATGGAGTGATTTACAATTGGGTTAAACCACCAATCGTTTTACCCGGATTAATTATATCCCGCGGTTTCATTATATCCCGGTTTCTTGGTTTAATCCGTTTATTATTCCCGCGGTTTAATTGTATCCCGGTTTCTTGGTTAATCCGGATTTATTAATAACCGGATAATAATTTAAAGTTAAGCACAAAAATTTAAATTTTGATAAATTGATTGATTTAATATAATATTAATTTTACAGATCTATTATAATAAAACAGGTTTTTGTATTGGCAAATTTTGTATCCGGAAGGTTAAAAAGATGCTTTTGCATAAGTTGATTTTTCTTCTGAAGTTGGAATTAGAATTTAAAATGGTTACACAGAAATTGACCATATGATCATTCTCAATTTGAATTGAATTACGAAAATCAATTCACACACATGTAAGTAACTTGTTATTATGATGATGTTATCTGTTATTGGTTATCTTAAATTTTAGAAATTTGACGAATACAAATAATTAGTTCCGGGGCCTTTGGAACGGTTTATCGCGCAAATCAAATCAATTCTGAACAAGTTTTTGCATTAATTGACGATCCAGATAAGATCGGCACTAATTTACTATATAAATTCGGGGCAAAAATTTTCCGATTTATTTAGATAATATGAATATCACAAAAAAAGACCTTTTTATATATCAATACATAAAAAATCCTGGTAACCTCAAATTTTTTTGTGTAATCTACTGCATGAATACATAAGGAAAATGATGATATCGAAAAAAAATGTTTTTTATTGACTAAAAAATTGTCTTTATTTGCACGCACGTCAGATTCCTCCTACCTTCCTATACTATGTTTGAATTTCTCAATTTACGGTTTATAAAGTAATTATTCCAAATATTATTAGATAATAAGTTTATTATATGTTTTTAGCATAATTTTTATTGAAATATTGTAACACATACAGTTATTATAATAAAAACGCGTTTCAATATGTCAGATTTATTATGAAACAGTTGTTTTTTCTTGAACCCATAATATTTTGTAAGAAATTCTAATTTTTAGGTGTTTTCTGCTTCTTCCATATTTCTAAGGGCCATAGATTGTTTCCATTTGTGTGAAAAAGTTGTAATCCAGTTGGCAATAGTTGACTCCTTTGGAATATCATCCAGACTAATTTCTCCTTCGTGTTCACGACGTAATAATTCATTTCGCATCTCTTGAGCTGACATTTTTTGTCTGGGGTTAACTGTTCCTGTATAAAACATGCATTCAAGTAACTCTTTTACTTCAGGTACAATTCTTTTCACTGGTAACCTAATCTTTTGATTTTCTTTTAGAGCCTATCCTTTATAAAATAATTCATGGCTAAAAGAACGATGCAACTTAGAAAACATTTACAAAGAGCAATACTCTTTGATTTTGAAATAGTATCTGATGGTGGATTGGTTAGATCAATAGTCATTGCGTTCTATTTATTGATGATTATTAATTATATTATCCTATTCCAAATGAAGCCATCTCAAACAATTAATAACTACTCACTGATTCATCATTTTCTATGATTTCAGTATCATCTAATAAATGTTGGATTAGCATTTTTCTTATTTCAAAATTATAATTTAGAAACTGTACCTTTTTTTATGCTTGATGTTATTCAAGATTGGTTTAGTTTTATATGTTAGGTAATCATTAGACTTAGCTTGACAAAGATTCGTTCTTTAGTAATTTTTTGTATTTTACTAGGTGAAAATTTGTTTCACAAACCAAATCCAGGAAGAGCTCTCCTATAAATATATCCTACATCATCAGTTTCATTTGGCTAAATTTATTCTGACCAATTTGTAATTCCTTATATAGTATCTAATCTACTTTTATGATCTATATATAATAAATAAAGTATATAATTTTCTTTGAATTTTTGATGATAATAATTAAATCAATCACAAATTTTGAGAACAGTCAGGTTGAATATATGCTACATGAGTATGTACTCGCTAAATCTTTGATTGCATCTTCAATATTTTTACCAAAAGTAATATCATACCCTAGTTTTACATATCTTTTGATTGCATGAGTGATCTTATAAATAAATGAAATAATTTAGTAAATACATAACAATTCTTTCAAAAATTTGAAAAATTATATATTTATTACCTATGTATAATGAGAATCTATTGTTGTTTTCACCTCTCCCGCTTCTAAAAATATCCAATTTTTTATACTAACATTATACCATTCCTTCCAGTGTGATAAAATAATCATCAGTTCAGTATTGTGATAATGGGGTCCATTATCAGAAATTATTGTAATCCATAATAGCTTCTTTTCAAGAGTTTCTATTTTATTATGTAATGATGAAGAACTAGGTATCCTGTTTTGTATCATTTGACCAATGGTTAAATGCTTGAATATTGAGATTATGTGTTTCAGAATTTTTAATATAACAAGTATGGTATGAAAACTTCAGTCACGTTTGCTAAAAAATTTAGATTTTATTTTTCTTAAACTTTTTGGCAGAATTCTCATTTTATAATCTACAATTAATAACATACTATTTGAATCTAGTTTAAGTAAATTAGAATTTAACTGAGCATTTAGGTATGTCTTTCAGGCATAGTGAGACATGAAGGATATTAGTTATTTTTGATATTCTTTAAGAATTTGATAATGCATTATGTTTAAATTATTTTTCAATTTCTCAAAAAATTCAAATAGTCCTTTACAATTTTGACAGATTTTTGAATGATCTTGATCACAATTACCAAATGTATATCAAAGACAATGACTCATACAAGGAACATGAATAGCATTGCTCATATCATCAATTTGTAATTTTTTATCAAAGTCCTTGTGAAGATATTATCTTAAACTTTATGATTCATTTACTAATTTCTTCTGATTTTATTATTTATTATATATATTAGTAGGATGCTAAATTATAATAGAAATAAATAATAAATTTACTCGAATACCTAGATCTATAATATACTTTTTGATAATTTTTTCAATTTCAGCAAATACTAAATAACCATATTCATTACATATCATACATAATTCTCTAAGATATTCTTTATATTAGAAGCGTCCTTTTTTTAAACATGTCATAAATGATATATGTTGCATACCGTCAGGATATAATTCATAAAAATTTTTCTATAATGCCCATTTGTGATCTTAAAGATATAATACAGGTAATCCACTTTTATTATCAGTTTTATACAAACTCATATTTACATTTCTTTTATCTGTAAAAAATGATTAAAATTGACTTAACATTTCTTCTTTTAGCTTGATACAATGAATGACTGGTTTTAATAACAGAGGTGCAACATAACCATTAACTTGTGTATATTTTCTGGATTCAGAAATAGTATGTCTTCCAACCTTTCAATACACAAATTAATAATTAATTATTATTTATCTGTTAATTTAGGAATTTTTATTATATAAAATTTGTACTTACATTCAAATTTGTTTCCAATTCTGAGTAAGAAAATTCATCTGCGATAATTGATAAAACTCTACGTCTACCATCACTGTTTTGCTTATTATCATCCAATGCATGTCTAAAAGAATTCCAAAAAGTCTTTGTTTTGTTAGGCATGTGAATGGGAGTGCTAACAAGAAAACCTATTTTGCTAAGTTGTTGAAGTGTTGCATGATCTTGTCCAGGTTGAGATGACCTAGACCAAAATTGATACTAATAAAAATTGTTCATCAATATAATTTTTATCAATATTATTTCATATAAAATTTAGGTTGTAAAATACATTACCTCCGATTCTTTATTTGACCAAGGAGTTACATTATAGCTACCGACATCCCAAAGTATAGATTGCCATGCTCTTAATTCTCGATCACTAAATTTATGATTATTTGAATATAAAATTCATAATTGTGAATATAATTCAATAATTAGACTTTCTTGTTCAAGCCAACCAAGAAATAACTGATGCCAATTGAGATTTGCTATTGTTCTTCGTTTAAATGGTAATCATAAATTTGTTCATAATAGAATAATCATTCCAATTTTTTTGGAAAACATGTGGGTAATTTTACTTTATGCTGATGAATGAGAGTTTGGACGAAAGAATTTTCAAGGCCAAATAGTAGATTTCCGTTATATTTTTTATTAGCTCTGATTTTTCCCATACAGCAATTGGTGTTTCCCCTTCAAATTTTTTTTTCAATTGGTTATCTTGATAAATTTCAAGAATACATTTATCTTCAATTTTAGACACATAAATTGCCTGTTTATTGCCGTTAAATTTGTATATCAAAGATGATTTGTATCCGGAACCAGCGTTAAGCCAATCTACTTGAGAAGAAACTCCTATCCCATATATAAATATTTTCAGTGATTCAATAATAATCGAAATAGGAACAAATAAAACATCTCCTAAAAGTCTATGAATTATATCTTCATCTTGCCATCCTAATACCAAAGGACCAGAAAATCGAGTTCCATTTTCAAAAATTTGTGTATATACCGAAGATATAGCTTTAGAAGGATCGTTTTCTATTTGACCAATATATGCGTCACTTTGACACAAATACCCAGGTAAAAAAACATGATTTTTATTACCAACAACAATAGTTACAAAAAAATTGCGATTATTAAGACAGGTTTTGGTTTTTTGACCAATACGAAGGGGGAAAAAAGTCGTGTTTTCTTTATCTGTTGACGTTTTCCACCAAAAACGTGAATATGGCCCATAGTGAAATTCTTCAACTATAGAACCAAGATCCACCAAAGTAACTGCAATTGGGCGGTGTTTTGGCATAAATATTAAAGCAATATTAGTCGCGCGAGTCAGATTCAGAAAAGCTATAATGATACTTATCCCCGAATTTCATTATGATGTAATAGTCACATGGTGCCGATCTTATCCGGATCATCAATTAAAATCTTTTTTAATCCTGACAATGTCACTGCCAAAGAAATTGTTCGTGAGGTAATTATAAGTTAGAACATGTTTTTATAATTCAGCTTGAAATTCAACATGAAGTTGATTATAACGACAATATTATTCGCTTTTATGGAATAAATCATTTCAATATTAAAATGTATGTTATAAAGTTATATATTTACTTAACAATTAAAAAAGTATTTATTGGTGATATTTTTGATGGAGTATGCTGATGGAGGTACGCTTCGATACTACTTGAAGAAAATTTTAATACACTTGGCTGAAACGATAAACCCAATCATGTTTTAATTAGTAAACAAAGTTTCTTTATATTTAAATTAACAATCATTGTAGTAATATATTTTAAAAAAACAGTTGGCGATAATGTTGCGCCACTAAATATGAAATGTAATGTACCTTTATATAAAGAATTTTTTAAACTTATTCCATGAAAAATTAATATTTGGCTTAAATAATAACTTTAAATTATATACTTGGTCGGTCGATCAAACGGTCGTGTCGGTCAAAAGTCGTTGACCGACCCATGATCGACCTATTGATAAACTAAGGCATTTTTCTACTCTTCGAAAATGATTCTCGTTTGTTGTTATTGACAAAATCGATTATAGTCATAATGTCATTATGATAGATCATATTTGACGTTTGGAGCCCTATCTAGCGATTCAGGATCTAAAATTTGCAAATATCACGATACACGTTCTAAAAAAAAAATTTATTTATTTAATTTACTTTTTGTTTATTTATTATTATTTTTTTTTTTAAAAATAAAAATTAAATTTAAACTTTTAAATAATAAATGTATACAGATCTTAAAAAATTTAATCCACGTGCAATATCAAGGATTATACGTAACTTTAAGATTATTAACGAATCGTTCTTTAAATATTCACCCATTCTGTTACCAAATATCATCCATCATCACCAGAAATAAGACCATAACATTTTATGATATTCTGCCAATCTTGAAATTCTTTAAGAATTGTAACTTATTTCGTACACGACCTTGATCATTCTTGTCGTTGAGTCTAAATGCAAATTAGTTATAACCCCATCACCACGTTTCTTACGTGTTTCTTTATATCAGTGAATTTTTAGTTAATTGGAACTATTATTGGAGTTGCTTCAACAGCTGCTGTCTCTACCATGACCTTTGAAAAAGTTGTTGATGTTTTGTAAGTAAATCCCGTTAAATCAAGGCTAGATAAAGTTGGAAACTTTTAAGATATTTCCGATTGTTCACTATTACTTATAATTGGATTACGTTGAACTTCTTTTAATAATTGATTGCTTTTTTCAACGTCATCATATTGTCATCACCATTTTGTGAAATAATGGATTGTAATTTAGTAACAACTTGTTTAGCGGTTGGGCGATTATTCGGTTCATTATCCCAACATACTGATGAATAACGTTAAATTAAATTATTAATTTCAAAAAAAAAAAAAAAATTAAATTAAAAAATCAGAATGGATTAAATGTTGTAAACACCTTATAAAGATTGAGATATTCCGTAGGTGTATCTTCCACATCATCTTCTCATAACATAATTTTTACTGCATACTCTACATCATTATTCTCAAATGGAGGCCGTCTACCAAAATCAATTGCAATTTGAAATGCTAATTGATATTTGTCATCCCATTTTAAATTTACTGAAATATTAATTCAAATAGTAGTCTTTAAGCGAGCCTCCATCAGCATATTCCATTACTATCAAATATTTTTGTTATTTTGTGAAAGCGGGTTATCAAGTAAATAATAATAACGTAAATTATCCAAATTACCAATTAAAAATTAAATAAATAACGGATTACTAATACCATATTTATTGGTAATTCCAAGGAATCGTATAATATTTTCATGATAATAATTAACAGTGCGTAACAAATAAATTTAATTAAAGAGTTCAAGTTAAATTCAAGCAAATGATTATTACTGCAAACAGATAATTACCTCTTTGATGACGTTACTAACAGACATATCATTTTCAAATGCTTTCAAAACTAAAACGTTTCCATCACTTTTCCGATTCGCTTGAAATACGTTATCAAAATCACCAAATACCAATCTTTTCAACATTTATAAATTGATCATATTTATAACATTTTATGTGTCCTTTTCCAATTGCTTCATAATCTATTCACATTTTCAGTCATTTCCTGACTATAAAAAAAAAAAAATTCACAAACGGAATTGGCGCCATTTTATAGGATTCAATCCGTGATCATTGATCGGCGGATTGTGAAAATTATTTTTTTGTCATACCAAAAAAAATACCGATAAAAATTTCCGACTCGATAAATAATTTAATTTTTTATAAAATTCTTTTAAACTAATATTGATGATATACAGTATGAGCTTCTTTTTTTTTGCAAATATTGGTCTTATGTAATCCGTTGATACATACAGTATATATACCGATGTGAGAAAACTTTACTTTATCACGAAGGTTGCATTGAGAGGATTGAAAAAATGCACGGACCAAAAGCCAAAGTGTTATACTTTGGTCTCACAGAATATGCTATTCTATTGCTATTTTCACAATCGCTAATGCTAAATTCATTATTTTTCCTGACCAATTGATTTTTCCGAAAGAAATTCTTATTCTATTCTCTTCTTCCGCACAGTCCTTTTCTCTACTATCTATTTAAAATTCGCTAATCAATTCGATTATATAGTATCATTGCCAGGATTTCCAGTGTTATTACAGTTCCGAAGTAAAATTAGCAATGTCTCGTAGAAAAAACGCCTTGTCAAATGATTTAGCAAGCTATCCCGAATCTAATACTTCTTATAAACCTAAGAAGCAAATCTGTGAAGCTGGATTACAAAAAAAAACGAAAAATAAAATTAAGGTTGCGGACGAAACTTAACATATAGTAAATCTTACATAATAAAAAAATAAGTTTCTGATTCTTAAATTTATTTACTCATTGAATGATAAACAATTTGTTTCCTGAAAAAAATGTCTTGGTTAAGTTGGCAATGTATGTATGTATAGTATTTTTTTTTTTTTTCATGTATGTATAATATTAGAAACCTTCAAGTATGGACTATTTTTTATGAAAAAACCATACATGTATAGTTTTTAAGGCATACATACCGTACAATATATACATTGCTAGCTAATCGTACTGTACAGGTTTGTGTAATACCCGTTAAGTTGGCCTTAGGAATGTCCCAACTGTAAAAATTGTTAATGCAGATCATCGAAAAGCTATTTGACCGATTTATTACATCAATTTTTAAAAGGAATTTTCATATTTAACTCTATTCGACAGAATTCCGTTTCTAAATCATGTCAGACGGTTGCCATGAAAGAGAAGTTTTAGGATGATTTGAACTAATCAAGGGCAAACACCACCGCTTTTTATAATAAAATATTTATTAAAAACTTTTAATTAAAAAAGGAAAAAAAGACTTAAGGATCCGAAGATAGAAAATCCGCTATTAAAAAAGGGTCAACAAAATCTTGTGTATATAATATCATCACACTATATTTTAATTAATACATATGGATTATATATAAAATTAATTTTTTTTTTTATTAAATGTAACTAGTTATAAATTTACAATAAAGATAAATTTAAAAAAAAATAAATTGGTTCCTTTCAGCGGCGCATTTTTGTAAAAGACCATCTAGTTAATTCTAAGTAGCGTAGAGTTATCGGAGAAGTCTTTCGTTTCGTTTGTAAATAGCGTTAGCGTAATCGGAAAATTTTGGAATTGTCCGTTTCTGCGTTTCTGTGTTAAAATAAAATAAAATAATATTCCGTGGTTTACTTCTACCCAAGGAAGATCAGCCAGAACCAATGGACCACTTCAAAATGTTCTGGATTATTCAGAACATTACTCCGTGAGCACCCGCCAACAAGTACATCAAGCGAGGGGTTAAGAGATTATTATAAACAATAAAAAGGGACGATTTGAAATATAAATAACTCTGCATCGTATTTTTTTTTTTATCAAAGCCAAAGCTATTTAAAAGAATACACTTGCTTTGATATGTGAAAAAATGACTTTATAAAACTTCTCCCATTATTCTTTACGTTCTTTCGAGGCCAACAATAGCGTGTATAAGTAATAATCTAGTGTGGGGTGGGGAAATAATATTTGTCAGAACTTTCTTTGATAGTTTCATTCGAGCGCGATATAACGACATGACAAAAAATTAGATTAAATAAAATTTTATCAATAAATATATTATTACATAATAAATAAATAATTTATGTAATTTTAGTATTAGTTAGAATAAATAGAGTACGATTTTTGCAAATCGGTATGTTTCGCGAAGTCCTTACCGATTTGAGATATCCAATTTCGTTAAATGTACCGATCAGCCAAATTCGTACCGTATTCCGTTATTATGGTCGGTCGTAATTTAAGACGGACATATAAAACCCCGAAAAATATGATAGCTATTCAATGTAAGTAGCAAAACCGAATACAACGACAGATCCAACCAACAATATAGACTTGGAGAGTTTATTAGTTTGAAGACCCCATCGGTCGCTAGAAATCGTAAGAATATTAATGCTCTTAATGGTATTGTTGATCGAGTTCTCTGCAGAGAGTTATTTATCGTGACCAAAATAATCACATGGTGGTGATCTTTGTGGTCGTGGTTTTAGATAGGGTTTTAGATAGAGAATTCCACTATTTTAAATTTTCATAAATTTAAATTAATTTTAAACAAATTTATCTGATATGTATATTATGTAAATTTACCTATCTCGCGTGCGTGGTAAGCAGAATGTCTTTTACCGCGCTTATTTTTACATCCTTACGATATCTTTAAAACTTTGTTTCTATATAACTATATGAATTCTTTACGTAAATAATAAGCTTTTTAAACATGAAGTGAAAGCAGAAATATCTAGGACTTTAATATTCACGTGTTTATAAAACGTCCATTTGAGAAACTTTCCCATGAATTAACGCATTCGCCCCCGATAAAATCTAATATCATACGAAAATGTATACGAATTTCACCATTATATTGAAAAAGGTCAGGAACGTTAAACCTTTTTTTAGTTGATTTGATTGGTCGGAAATTTCTGTGCAACAACGAACTTTTGGCTCATTTTTTGTAGACGATAAAAAATTGATTTTTTCAAACAAGATTACGGTTCCTTCAGCAATTCATAACTAAAACAAAATTGAAAATAAATCTTATCTTGCTTGATTCAGTTCTCTTAATTAAGCTAAACAAATAATTAAAATTTTATAGAATCATTCTTAAATATAATATTTTCATAGTAAAATATCATTATATCAATGTAACGCTTTTAATTTATAAACCAAAATGAAGTGGAGTCTGTATCTTCAATTAAATCTAGTTAGTCCGGAGAGGTAGCGAAGGACTATATAATATATAGTTAATTAGTTAATTTTCTGTTAAATGTTGCAAAATTTTTTATTTGACATGAAATTATTATTTTTTTTTTTTTTTTTTTTTAAAAAAAAAAAATTAAAAAAAAAGTTCAACCAAAAAATCGAACTTTCAAAATTTTCTATTGGACGATACAATAAAATCATAAAAAACTGAACGCCCATAACAGGCTTATTTATATTCATATAAAAGCGTTTATGCTGATAATAGTTAAATATTATCACGGTATATACAAGTATGCTTCTAAGCTTAGCTAAGAAAATCACTTCAAAATCTCGGATTATTAATTTGATCAGGAATCATCCCATTTGTTTTGAGATAGTTACAACCTTTTATATTATTCTGGAGTAAAATTGTTTAATTCAATTTAGGGATTAATTGCTATATTCTGTGATAAATTTCTAACTTGCAAAATATTGTACATTAAATCCGCAATAAAAGATGGGTTTGTTTTCATCATCCAAATATTAAATTTCAACGCGTTACACAAACAAATTTTTTGAAAAAAAATTTTTAACTACTATAAGTGGGGGGAAAAAACTTATATATCCTAACATCATTATAACTTATTGAAAGATTTATAATAAGGCCGGGCAAACAAAAATTTGTTTCTCGTGACATAAAATTTTAAATTTGACACAGTCACCCGGTTTTTTTTTTTTATATATTAAGATTGTTAAAACAATCTCTTTTTCTTAGAAAAAATGCCTATCATTGTACATGTTATGTTTAATTCTAAAACAGTATTTGAGTGGGAAGGGCTTCCTGTTAATGAGGATATGAATATAGGAGAATTTTTTAAAGATGATGTATAAGGTTGCCGGGCAAAACCCGGAGGTTTCGACAGGCATCGAAATCGAAACCCGTCGAAACGTTTTGCCAAATATTTTTGTTAAAGGCAAAATTGCGAAAGTTTTGACAGGTGGCAAAAGTTTCGATAGTAGCAAAAGTTTTGACGGATGGCAAAAGCCCATCGATATTAAAATACAGATTTTTAATTATAAAAATTTATTTTGTTTTTGCGAGTTGAGAAAATCATTTATAGCAAAGCTCATTCTTTGTTTTATTTATAATATCATATTTTTATAAAAGTTAAGAAAAAAGAACTATCTTTTTGATCCATTAAACTTTCATTCGAAAAATCTTCATCTTCTTCATAAGGAAATTCTTCTAATTCTTTAACAAATTCCTGTGTTTTTAAAATTAAAACCTGTTCGATAAATAATGTATTATTTTAAAAACTTTGTTCTAATTTAGTAGTATATTTGTCTAAGTTACATTATCCTGTAATTGTAATCCATTATTTCTAGTATCCAATGTAGCCTTTGTCTCACAACTATAAGGTTGCTAGAAATTTTGCAAGTCATTTAAATGGTAAAAGGTATTTATTAAAATCTGCAAAACTCAGGAAAAGGTAAAAACTATATCAAAGCTTATAAAAATGCGAAACTATATCAAAACAATAAAAAAATTAGCAAAACTAAAGTTTAGACGTTTTGCCAAATTCAAAATGAGTTTAGACAAGCAACCTTACGTATTTATAAATAATTTGTATTTGTAAGCAGAAAGGATTTAATTAAAAAATATTATGCTAAATTTATTTATTAAGTGGCCAGATTGTGATTTTCTGTTTTATGATATTTTTATTGTTATGCTGCATAATTTATAATAATATTTTATTGTAAAATATGGATAATAATATATTTTATTGTAAATAATGAATTATTAATGCTATAACAATATAATAAAACAAATTTTACTCTTTTTGTTTACGTTTTGTTCCAATTCTTACATCTATCTAACTTTTAAGGCAAAGACTCTCATCTGCTATTTCTGGATTAAGTTTATTTCTTTGTTTAGTAATTGTATTTCTAGCAATAGAAAATGTATGTTCTGCAGAAACACTGGTTGCTTGGCGCAATTTCAATTTATTAAACTCATAAATGCTAATCACTATTAAAACTATAATAAAATTCTGTAATTAAAAATAAACGAAGTTACAACGTTAAAAATAATGAAGTGATAATATGGGAATTAGCTATTAAAATCACGTTACGGATCATATGATTTACTATGTTCGTAACTTGATTTTAATAGCAAACCTCCCATATGTGAACTTTGCAATAGAAAAGGGGCAAAACTATATTAAATATGACAATACAATATTAATTCTTAATAAAGTTTTATTAAATTTATAAGTTGCTTTTACTATGAATAATGTATTTATTTATTATTTATTTTTAAAAAGGGAGTTCATTTTTAAACAGCCGAGAATGTGATATTTTTTTTTTAGGCCGTTCTCAAGAAACTCCCTCAATGATATCAAGTTTGCCACCATCTTCTGATTGGCTTGATACTATTTTACTTTTTACATTATTACATTATGGATAATTCGTCAGAAGATTATTATCCTACTATAAACTAAATTTGATTATGCCAGTAACTACATCAACTATCATTATTAAATGACATATTATAATATCGTATTGTAAATACTTGTATATGATATTTCACCCATCATTTGTCAACATCTACTTGATGAGGTAGATTGAAATGGATGCAATGTATGGAGAACATACTATATACTCCAACATTTGATATCCTATAGTAAATAAATAATAGGATAACTTGTAATGAATCTATGTTCATTATTTATTCGACATTTTTCATTTTTGATGAAGTTATGTCGTAATACACCTTGTCGTTGAAGAGTTGAATATTATATGGGTAAATATTTTGAAGGAATAAAGCGAGGTCATTTAAAAAATGATGTATGATGTATTATTTTCATTTATTTTATTTGTTATTTTATTTTTTTTATTTTTTTTTTTTTGAAAAACTTGACAAATAATTACACATATTTATATATTTCTTGAGAGAGAAGGATGAATTTATTGATATATTAGCGTCTGACTGATAACCTTTTTTTTTCTTGTATCGGAAATCATTGTTAAACAAAAGGTATTTTAATTGTTTGCTTTTTTCACATGAAAATAAATCAAAACCCTGTGTGATTATTGAACCGTCTTTGTACATTTACTACCTTATTTTATTTCTTTTTAAAAAAATACTTTTACTTCCCAAAGATTTCTAATTTAAAAAAAAAAATTCATTTATAGATTGAAATGAAATTTTTGTTTTCGATAATTAATTTCTAAGTGGAACAATAGTACTTTAGCACTTCTGTGAAATGAACCATTACATTTACTTAATGGACCAATCTAGTTAAAGTCATCAAATACAAATTAATGATAACATTGCCCGCCCATTACGAGAGATAAAGAAGTATTTCACTTTAGAGTTTGTTCATAATGACTATAGGTTTATTCAAATTTGTCATCAAATATAAAATTCAATATTTTTAAATCAATTAAATACATAGGGATTGTTATCAATGAATGAAAAAAAATCTCATGTAATTTGTATTTTACAAAAAAAAAAAAAAAAAAAAAATTCGCTCCGTGACTAATATGATTGGATAAAAAAGAACCCAAACCATTATTCGAGTAAAATGTGCAGATCTAAAATTATATATTTATATTTTGGTTTAAATGAATTATTTCCTTCTCTTGAGTCTCTATATCAACTTCTAATTGTAGTATTCCATTAATTAAATGAAACGTACGGATCATGAGAAACGCTTCGGAAGAATCACATGCCTTGATGTTCAAAAGAATAAAATTTCCTTTAGGTAATCATCTTTTCTTCTAAATACGTATGCTTGGTAAGTTTTTATTTAAAAACGTATCAATTAAGTGCAACTTTGAGATTTAGGTTTTCGGATGTCTATTTCTCAATCCAAATGGTGCAAAGTCTGTACTTTTGGCGAAAATAGTGGTACAATTTTAATACAAAATCAGATAATAATTTCCCTTTCTCTTTAGATCTTCGTAACAGAAGGAAGAAGGTAAGGAAAAAAAATTTAAGGCAGCTCGCCGGCTCTATCTATGCGGAGCAAATGTTCTTTCTTGTCGATAGTTTTCAAAAAGTATTGGTAGTCGACTACAAATATTTAGAAACTTGTACGTTTTCATATCAATATTTCATTCTTACTTATATCGAGAACCAGAGTTTTCCAAGAAATTTTTTATATTAACAAATATACGAGCCATTTATTTTACATAATTTTTACAAAGGTTATTTAATAAATTTATTTAGGATTTGATAATAAAAACACAATTTTACGAATTTAAAAAAATAATGTTTTGCGCATAATAATAATTTGCATAAATACACATAAAAATAATTTATAATGTACATTTTTCCCCCAATAAAATCATGTATAGTATAGTTTAACCAAGTATACTTATCATACCCTTCATACGTAAACGTGTTTATGAATAGCATTCATATTAATGGAATTAATAAATTCATCAATGTGTTTCCTTTTATGTCTTTGCAAACTGCTTGCGGTAGTAAATGCTTTTGTACACCCCTGATGATCACAAATATAAGGTCTCTCTCCGGTGTGAGACCTCTCATGATCCCTTAGATGACCCGAATGGGTAAATTTTCTTCCACATTCCGGAAAGCTACAAATCATTAATTTATTTCCGGTATGTAATCTCTGATGGGTTCTTAAATCATTCATTCTACTAAACATTCGACCACATCCTGTTTCTCCACATTTCCATGGCTTTTCATCCAAGTGTGTATATTTATGCGTTTGTAATCTTGTAAAGTTCGTGAATGATTTTTTACAACCATTCTCTTCACAAACATAGATTTTCGCCAAATCATGATTTTTCTTGTGTCTAAATAAAACATCCGATCTTTTGAACGTCTTGTCACATCCAGGTAGATCACAAATAAACGGTTTATCTTCTGAATGCGTGCTTTGATGTTTCTTCAAATTTCCCAATAAAACAAATGCTTTCTTACATCCGGTCACTTCACAAATAAAAGGTTTCTCATCAGAATGGGTTTTTTCATGAATTTGCAAATTGCCTAATTGACTAAATCTCTTGCCACATTCTTTACATTCATAAGGTCTTTCTCCTGTATGAACTCTACGATGATTTTGTAGGTGACTCATTTTAGAAAATTTCTTATCACATTCAGCAAACTCACACTTTAAATACAAATCTCCCGTATGTTTACGTTTGTGAGTTTTTAAATCATCAGGACGCTTGAATGCCTTTGTACATCCTAGTTCATCACATGCATAAGGTTTATCCTTTGAATGCATACACTTATGAACTTGTAAACTACTTGATGTAAAAAATGATTTTTCGCATCCCGGCTCATCGCAAACGTAAGGTTTCTCACCATTATGATTTCGTTCATGTACTTTTAATCCGTGTGAGGTAGTATAGGACTTTGCACAACCCGATTCCATACATTTAAATGGTCTTTCGCCGGTGTGTGAACGTTTGTGAATCGTCAAATTAATTTCCGTGCCAAATGATTTATTGCATCCGGGCTCATCACAGGAGAAAGGTTTCTCTCCATGATAACTTTTTTCATGAATTTTTAATCCATGTGAAGTGGTATATGTCTTTGTACATCCATCTTCTTTACATTTAAATGGTCTTTCGTCAGAATGAGAACGTTGATGAACCTTTAAATTACTCTTTGTACTAAAAAATTTGCAGCACCCGGGCTCGTCACATTGATGTTTCTTGCATGATATGGTATGATCAGCTTCACTTTTTCTTCTCTTTGCGGGATAAATGAATTCGGAATTACATTCGTCACTATCATAATTCACCAGATCTTCTTGAAGTTTATCAATCACTTCCATAGTCACATCATCGTTATCATCATCATAAATTTCCATGGCATCAGTTAGCTTTCTAATCACCAGGTCATCAATCTTTTGTAAAGTATGTTGTAATTTTTCCACTTTTTCCTCCTTTTCAGCTATAAAGGATTGTTCAAATTTTACTAAAGAATCCGTGTAAAACTTTGAGTAATCAACAAAACTTTCGTCAATATTCTCAATGAAGTCACTCTGAATAATTCGGACACTATCCTTTTCTTTCAACTGACGGGTATCCGTGGATGAAGAAGAAACAGCCTGTGCAGCAGAATGAGAATCATTGTTATCATTTTTTAAATTAATAATGATGTTATTAATAAATGAATCAACAGGACCGAATAAATTCAATCGTGAAGTATTTTGATCCTCATTATCAGTTGGAATTTTTTCTATAGAAGAACTACTTAATTGATTAATGGTACCAACTTTAATATCAAATACGTGATGTTCCGCATCGTTAAGATTCGACTTTCCGCCGGCGTGATAACCAGAGGAACTAGAACCTATCGTAAAAAATTGAAAGTTACGAACTGTTATTAGAACGTTGAAATCGTTTTGAAAAAAAAGAAGAGTACAGCAGCAACAAAAGCAAATGAAAGAATTTGATGATGCTTTCATTAACTATTACGCAATGAATTTGAAACAATAAAGTGAATGATTATATATTATTTATTTATTTATTTTTGATACCTGATGCCATGTTTTAAAAAAAAAACAGGACGAAAAAAAAACCAACAAATGATGTTAAGTTTTTAAAATTTAAGTGAGAAAATGCCACTATGGTGCACTAAATTCCAAATTTGATTGTTTGGGGCTTATACTGCAGTTCCATAAAAAGGGATGTTGATCAACAATGATCGGCGGGCACAGAATTTATTGCGTAATGATGCGTTTTTTTTTTTTACGATGAGCTGAAAGTGTGTTTTTAGAAAGATCAAGCAAAATGCTGAAATTAAAGAGGGTTACGAAAGTTCTTTTTTGTTCATCTTTGGGTGCCATTTCATCAAATTTCATTTCATCATGATTTTAATTCCCATTTTTGAACCGACTCTCCCGGGGTTACTGATCCTCCTTTGCTGATTATCTATCTAAATCATCATAAGCTCATTCTTGGTTCTAGTAGATCCGTGATTTAGGAGTATGGTTTCACATTGGATATCAGACTTGGTTAGTGTATTTTAGTAACAACAACTTGCTACGCCCGCAACTTTTGAATCTGTGCTACGCAGAAATCACCATCATCAACGACGAGTGATTTATGAAGAAATTTTTGTTACTTAACGAATACCTCTTAATTTTCCAACAAAAAATATTAAGAAATCGGCTAAAATCACACATAAATGTAGTTAGGAATATTGCGGATAACTGAAATGATCAAGTCATTAATTAACAATAAAATTTACTTACCTGACTTGTCATTATATATTTTATATTGAAACGTCTTACTAGATTACCCATTCTTTCAATAATTTAGAATCTGTTTAATAAATTAATCCTTATCGAAGATATCATTTTTTTTTTATAATAATAATAATTACACGGTCACATATGATAATTAAACTTTGACCGTGGAGACAACCAAAAGTTTAATTATCTGAACCGGATAATTTTACCGTAACTTCACGGGTATTCGCCAATAACCCGTGAAGTTACTGTAAATAATTTAATAACCAATTGTTTAAATTCCAATTAGTTGTTATTGGATAAATAAATATAAAAATGACCCGTGTTAAATGAAAAAACCATCATAACAGGCATTTCAACTCGTATTTTACTGAATGAATGACTTTAAAAGAACTAATTACGGCCATAATGTAATTCAATCCATGAATGTAAGGTTTTTAAATTATTTCATTATGGTAGGTAATAATGATCCTTCCTTATAATAGTGCTGAATCAGAATTTAGTCTATGAATCAATATCATTTATTTCATTATTATTTTTTTTTTTTGGATAAACGTATATGTATAGTATGGGCGATTTGATATTAAAACACGTTACACTATGTCTCGAAACTCGTTTTAATAACAAATGACCCATATGATAAATGTAAAATCAAATTCAACCATTTAAGGGAAACGAACATGTTTCATTCCACCTAATAGTATTGTAGTCCAAACATTTGATATGATAAATATCGTTCCTATTGAATTCTACTAATTCTACTAATTGTAGAAATATAAATATTATTTTCCCTCAAAAGAAATTTTATTAAACGTAAATTAAATTTATTTCATTTATGAAGGAAATTTCGATTTTTAAAAATATTTTTACGGTTCATTGTCTTATCTCCCTTTAGTGTTTGTTTGCATTGTAATACATTATTAAAGTATTTCGGATCATCCGGATCATCCGGATCGTCTGTACCGGTTATTCTTGATTAAAACCTTGCCGCACTGATTTTTTTTTTTTTTTTTTTAAAGAAAGTTCTTTAAGAAAATTATCACAAATTTTTTTTTTTTTTTTTAAAAAAAAATAATTAAAAAAAAAAAGGAATGAATAATCTTTACAGGCAATTATTTAAATATTTTGGTGTTGAGTCGTGTAATTTTGTGCAATTTATTTATTTGGTGTACAGATATTATATCCACCTTTTTGATAAATGAATTACTTAAAGTATTGATAGTAATCAATGCAAAAAGAGGGGAATCTGGAAATTTTATCTAATTTTGGGTTCTTTGCTAATTTTGTGTACTTGACTGATCAGTCGAACCAATAAAAAATTTTTAGACAAATTAAATGTAGTATCGTTTTCCAATTTGAGAACGATGAAATGTTCTATCTTTTTTTATAATACGAATTATTATTGTGGCTTGCAAAATCCAAAAACGACCAATTTTTTATATCAAATGATTGGAATAAAAATAACTCTAATATATAAATTGTGATGCGGGCGTCAAAAAAAAACTCTTGATGGCTATTTTACCACGCAACTTTATTTCCTTTTTCCCTATCTTGATTCAGTAATAAATGATGTACGTTATAATGAAAGCAAAAATGCAAATGAATTTCAAGCACATTGTAATTTTACGTCATGTTCTCCATATTTCAAAGTGCTTTTTCGTCCAAGTTGATTACACAAAAGAATGATCATGTTTAGTAAACCCCAATCGTTTTTGTTATGATTTTAAAGTAAACCTGCTTATTAATTAAAACTTCTTTTTGGAGATATAAATCATAATTTGACAAGATTATCGTCTTGAAATGATCTGCTGTCAAAACCCGAATCCATTTATCACTAGATAATCACATTCTTTCTGACCTATTCAAAGGATGAATTGCAAGTTAAGAAATTTAATAAACGGGGTATCGAACAGACTCCTGAATTGGGAAGTATTAAAATAATAGAGCTGAATGGAATCTAGAAAATTTTGAAGCAATAAAAAGAAAGTTAAGATAATTCATTCCTCTTTATGATAAAGTCCGTCCTTATCAAACTTATAAAGAAGTCACTAAATACTACTCCTTACCGAAAACAATTGCACCCCGTGATGAAAAACTAACATCAACGGAAATCATACAAATATTACAATAGATATAGGTTTAAAAACTTTGTTGTTGATCATAAAAGTGCGCGGGCAAGAACCAATTATAGTTCTGATAAAAAGCACAATCAAAAAAAAAAAAAATTTCGTGGTTAACATTTTTTTTTAAAAAAATGTATTATTTGAAAGTTTTATCTGACAATAATTTTTCTGTCTTGATAATTTTTATGGAATAATGAGATAAATTTGATCGTTATATTTGAGAAATAATATTTTATTTCTTTCTTTGATATCATAATATTCACTTCGCATACTTTTAAATAATTGTTGGTAATATTACAAGTTCAATTGGAACTCGAAAGAATTAATTCCACAGATAACCAAAATGCAAGTAACTTAATAAATCCATCTATCCACTGTCAACGTCGGAAAAATCCAAATTTCAATAATAATGTACCCAAAGAAGCAGTAAGATTTAATATTAAGTGGAGTAGACCCGATTAGAATAATAATAAGAACAAAGCCATCGATACAATTGTTAGTAAAATTAAGCGTTCGAACTTTTGCAATTTATAAGAGAATAGCAAATTTATTAAATTACAACGCTTATTATCAGTATTTGGACTCGTATATGCTGAGGGATGGCTTTTACTCTACGTTTTAATATGGCAAAAGAATCCTGTGCAAAGGTATTGGAATCTATTTTAGAATGATGAATCACAATTAACCGTTTCAAAGTTTCGTTCTGCCCTCAAAAAGATTATTCATCAAGAAAAAGATAAGTAATATTATTTAACAAATATATATAAACATATATTTTCTGACAATTATTCATGTATATAAATATACATTTTTGCCTAATTAAATTAAATTATTTGCCATAATATCGTTAAAATAATATTTTTTTCATATTATTTTATTTAATTGGAGACATCTTTATCCGGGTTTGATTATAAAATAGGACATTACGTTCTTTAGCCAATATTTCCTCTGGCATATTTTTCCTCTAGCAATTATATCTTCTGGCCACATTAAAATTATTTACCAAAAAAGAGCTCCAATAAGACATTGCTGAATTTTAGATATAAAAAAGACGGTTCTTCGACAGGAAGAAAAGAATTTGATTAATATAATTTTCTTAAAGTACTCAATCCATAATAATAATGCTAACGAAACCTGCTACAATAATCATATTGAACGTTGAGGCGGTTCCTTACCTTACCTACGTTCGATAAGTTAATAAATTCAATTAAACCCAAAACTTTCTGCATACTTTATATCAAGTAGCTATCTGAACTTAACAAGAACATTCATTTTATATGTTTCTGACTTGGTGACAAAGAGATGCAACTTTCATAATCTGCTCAAGCAACTAGAAAAGAAGCCCCAACGTGCGAGGTGGTCGAACTGACCATCGCAACTTCGGAGGATTTATTTGATAATATTTGAGAGATAATGGCTTAACGAGAATATAGGTCTTGTTACTCCTGTATCAGATACCATATTCGAATACAAAGTCAACGATGATGCAAAATATCCCTCAATTTATTCAATAATTCTCGACGCGATGAATATTTTAAGATCATTGATACGTTCAGAGTTTTTGCGATATTGTCGCTAATATAGATCAACTTATTATTCTACTTTGATGGATCCTTTAATGATCGATAAACTTAAGTCTAAAAGCTATTAATAGGAGGTGGTTAATGATATTTTGGTTTTATTTATAGGTTTCCATTATTTTCAATGGAAACTAACCGTTATTATAATTAATAGTTATTCAGCATATGTAAATTATATCCCTCCAGAATTTTGTTTTTTTTTTTTTTTTTTTGAGATTTAAAGAATTTTAATATTTCTAATAATTTTTACGCGCGCTATTTCTAAAAAAAAAAAAAAAAAAAAAAATGTAAAAAATTCTAAACTCTTTATTTCTTGTAAAAAGAATATAAACATAATAAGATAAATCAAATAAAGTCTTTTCATCAATATTTATTATATTTCATTCTAAACATACAAAAAGTTGATAAAAATTAAATTTCTTACCAATCTGTCATATGTTCGGTAATCGCTTTCTTTAATATTTGACAAGTTTAAAATAACTAATTTATTAAAACTTTATTAAGGAGGGAGATCTAAAATTTATCATTCTAGTTATCTGAGTTTGTAACAGTTTAAAAACAAGTTAGGGAGTTGATTAAGCTAGTTTTACTACAATCGAGATTTGTTACATTTCGATATTTTGCAATCCTCCTGAAATTCGTCTCTAGTTACTTGGTTAATTCTAAACTCGTTTCTCAATAATAAATGGCCGCATGTATATCATGTATATTTATTATTTTTCAATAATTTTTAAAGAGTAGCATAGTATTACAGTAGAATATAAAAAGATGTAGTCAGACATTGAATCGACAAAGTTTTTGTAAGAATATGTCTTGTGATAAAACTTACAAATTAATCAAATTATTATTCTACACTTTCTTTTTGTCCTCATAGGTTTTGTTACAAACATCTTCTTGACTTTAATAGTAAACTGTACTGTCAGAGATGACAAAAGAACTATCTATGGCTTTGCATTAAAAAAAAAAAAAAAATTGGCAAAACGTCAAAACTAGTTTCGATTTTGACATCTATCGAAGCCTCAGGGTTTTGCCAGGAAACTTTAACAAAAACTGTAACAAAAATTTTTTTAATAGGATGCAATCCTTGCGAGCGAACTTGACGAGTCTAACAAAAGAATGACTCTTTTAATAGTGATAGTATTAAAGGTATGATAATTTTTTTTAACAAAATAGTCAATAACACTATGCATTCTTTTTTTTCAGCTTTTTAATATTGGAAGATATAAGAATATGTATCTAAAAAACATGATTTATGTTTAATTCGTTGTGTATCGAATGAGAAAACTATAAACTTTATTTCATGGAATTTATTAAAGTGCAGTACAACAGAACATCTTACTATATATAACTTATGAGTAATGTTTTAATTACACCTTGTTTCCCTTTTGAATACTATCGTTATATTCAAATTCTGAAATGGATTCTTGATATTTCACTACGAAAAAAAAAAAAATTAACAAAAAAGCCAAAAAAAAAAAAATAAAAATAATCAAAAATCATTAATCATTAGTGCTCACAATAAAATCCCAAATTATTTCCAAAATTTCTATGACAAATTATTGAATTTATTGTTTGAATGATAATTATAATTATAGTGATTAAACCTATGATTATTATAAAAAGTTAAATAATTATTACAATTTTCAAACAAATCATAATTATAATAATAATAATAAACGAATGATTCTTGCCTATTACAATCGATATTTGGAACCACGATTCATTTTGTAGAAGATATTTAAACCCGCATATTTGTTCATTAAATAAGTTAACCGAACACCAATCATTGATATTTTCGATGAAATAAAAAATTTCATAAGCACTTCCGATATATGTAATGATTATTAATATGTGTGATTCGTCTCTAATCTAGGTAAATAAAAGAAAAGAAAAAAAATTCAAACGACATACATTTATGAAATGATCGAAAGTACACTCAAATGAAACAGGTCACTCACCGCCTTTGGAATGATTGCAACGTATAATTGGAAAAGCATAAACCATGGAATTAATTTATAATAAGGTGTTTCTGTATGTATTCCTAATGTAATATTGTACCCATAATTCCTTATAAGCGTTTTCATCCAATTTGTAAATGATATGGCTCCAAACTGTACTATTTGTGCATGTATAATAACTAGATTTCTTTGATAGGTTTTATACATTTCTATTAAAGCAGCAAAAAAAGATACAATCAATAAAATAATTAAATGTAATTGAAATTGCAAGGCAAAATCCCTTCGGTTTCGACAGTACAGTAGTATTTCAAACTATAATCAATTAAAAAAAAAAAAAAAATTCGAAGCTTGGGGATTTCGACCTTAGCCATTTGCTAAAATGATTTGCTCCGTATTATATATATACTTGCTTTTAATTTGATTGTTTTTTGTGATTTTCAATTCTTTAATAACTGGCCACGTCCTTAATTAAAAAAAAATATATATATTCGACAAGGTAAAATTAATTGAAAAATTAGATAATTGAAAGATATTCGAACATACCTTCTTTTCCAAAGATTAATGATTAATATGAAATACATAATTGTCAAAGATGAAAAATAAATAACCCAAATAACAAGACTGTAAAATGTGACATTCTTTATATGTTTAAATTTTCCATAATGTGCTATGAAATCAAAACAAACGGCATTCATACACTCAAAATAAACTTTAAACAACACTATTGCACCTGCACAAATTACAGATATTCTAAGACAGACAAATACGATGCCATGTAATATAGATCGTTGTTGTATCTATAGAAATAATTTGATTTTAGTTAAATAAAATTGTGAAGAAAAAAAAAATAAAAAAATAAATGAACCGAAATTATTTATAGCATACAGTTACAATTGCGGATATGAAATAATAAATATAAGGTAACGATAAAAGCAATGGTCTTATTGTATATACATTAATAACGAAAATGGTGCTTGAAAAGACAATGATTGTACATTCAAAAATAAAAGTAATAATAAATAATTTCTCAATAAATGTGTAGTTAGATAGAAACGCATTATGTGTAGTTTTTGAAACATTCTTCATTCCTTTCTTTTAACAATTTAAAATTATTACCGATATTTGCTAATTAACCAAAAGAGTTTTTAAGAATATAATTAAATGCCCTCTTTCAGAGGAAATTAATTTTTTTCATTCACTCAATGGTAATGATTACGATCATGCATTGAGTTAGTTACTAGACACCAAATTTGGCAATTTTTGCCTGATACAAACAAGTACGGAGATCTTTCCTCATTAATTTGATCACGGATCACTGATTTTACTAAACCTTCCAACAACCTAGCGTTGCCGTAAAAAATGAGTTTGGACACCGATTCAATAAAACAATAAAATGAAAAAAAAACTCAAATAAATTTAAGTTTAACGCAGTAGATGAACTCACCCTCCGTCACGAATCCGAAAAGAGAACCTAAAAAAATAATAAAACTAGAATAACCATTCCGAATATAAATAAAATGACTGCGGTTTTAATAAAAAAATTTTATCGCTTAAAATAAAGTGCAATATTCTGGTCCCTTCTCGGTATGGTCTATAAACAAGGTCTGAAACATTATATGACCGAAGTATTATTAAGTCACGTGACGTTACTGGACAAAAAATGGTGTTCAGAAAATTTTGACGAGGGTCTGTATTAAAACTTTGAATTCTCTTATTAGGAGTTACCTTTAATGTTCAAAAGATTTCAAGGATTCAGTAACGTGTAATCCAATATTCTAAGGCTTTGGCCGCTCTGCATTAAAGTATAAATTTAACTTGTTAAACAGTTACAAATTCATGTTATTTATAATAAAAAATTAAGATCACAAGAAAATTGAACTGTTAAGATGCGTTATTGTAAATTTATCAAACCTTAACATCGCAGTTTCCAAAGCGATTATATCTGTGAAAAAAATATTGCTAATATGGCAGATTTTCATCACGCTGAAAAGAATAATCTAGAAGGAAACGCGGCAAAATCAAAGATTACATTTGTTTTAAATTCTAATTGACGATATTAATGATCGGATGTAATGTCATAATTTATATTATTAGATGATGTGTAATTTTAATTAGTTGGTCAGAAATTTATTTGCGGACAGTGGGATGAAAAAAATGTCAACGAGTGCATTAAGAATGAAACTTTATAAACTTATTATAAATTTTTTATTTGATAAAGATACCAGCCGTTGGAGTCGGGTATTTTCAAATGACTGATCATTTACTGAGTTGTGTCTTTCAAATTTGAAATACAATGTTGTCGAAATTCTAAATTTTAAAAAAAAAAAATTTTGATTTATTTCAAACGAGAGAGTCGCGACTCTGTCGGTCGGGTCGTCTAATGACTGACCGACTCCATCGCTAGTACCACTGAAGCAGAAATGGCAATAAATCCGGTCTTTCATTATTATTGGTTTTTCAGGATGGAACACGAAAATCATCTTGTTTATAACGGGTTAGTGGGAATTGAAGGGAATTTTAATTAAGTAATGTAAATAATTCAATTTGGTTTGAAGAATCTTTTTTTTTTTTTTCCCTCATTAAAAGTCATTTTTCTCATCAATAAATTCATTCCTTTTAAATGTCTTCAGGACAAAATTACACAGATAATGATGTCTTTTTCGTAAATTCTAGTGAAAGTATTAAAATTGAAGTCTTACATTATTCTCCCGCTAATATAATATCGGTAAGCCTTTATAAGTTCAGTCCTAAATTTTTTTTATATAATTTGATTGTAATGATTCATTGTATGATAGAATTATCCACCAATTTTATTCATTCATGGATCAAATATTGCGGCTTGGGCTTGGGATAATTTTTGTCGCTGGTTTTCGAATAAAGAACATGATTGTTACACTATGAGGTAACTAAACTATCGCAGAACAAAGGCTTGAGATGGAGAATCATCAATTTATTAAACAAAAATTTTTTATCCTAGTTTTCGAGGACACAGACAAAGTACGAAGACTCCCAAAAAAGATAAATGGTGGTCATTAAATGAGATTACGAATGATATATCAGTCATAACTGATGCAATTATTGCTAGAACTGGAGATAAACCTGTTCTCGTGGGTAATTTTATTAATATAAATTTAAATAAATGTACGTGATGGATTAAATTAATATATTTCAGTCAGTTAATTACCCTTGCCTTTAGACATTCGTTTAGAGGAGGATTTCTTCAAAATTATCTCAAAAATAATCACCAAAAAGTAGCATGCAGAGTTTTATTTGCATCACCATCACCTTACAGATACAAAGCAAACCTCTTCGCAGACTCTTGTAAAATTTTTTCACGTCATCCAATTATTCCTTTCCTTAAGGCGCTTTTTACATTAAACCATTTTGCGATAGCTGAAACTCCTGAATTAATAAAAAAAACTTACTTTTCTAAAGCATTTCCTGATTCTATGGCCAGAGAAATTCATCCAAAACTCGAAAAATTTTGTTTTATCAAAGGAGTGGTTATAAGGCTTAATAATAAGCCTTTTGTTGATCCTTCAAGAATCAAATGTCCCATGATTGTGATTGGTGCCGAGGAAGACAAAGTCTTTCCTGACAATATAAAGAATATCTTAGAAATTTCCGAAGCTTATGGCGTCGGATATGATATCATTGGAGGTGCTGCTCACAACATTATGTTGGACCTTACATGGGAAGATGCTGCTATTGTTATTTTTAATAGAATCCACGAAAAATTGCGAATGAAAAAACAATAATTTTCTATTCTTTTATCTAATCCTAATATTATCAATTTTATTTTCATTATTTTCATTCGACTTCAATTTATATAGTCTTGGATGAAATATTCGCAGAATCACAGAATATAAACATAATATTCTTTCTACATTTATTTAATTAATTTAATTGTTTAACTTTGCAAAGACAATATAATCTTATCTTTTATTATGACTGTTAATAATCATGATGAAATTATTATTAATCTTATTTATTCTTTAATGCTAAGAAAACATTTTCACTCCAATTTCTTAGATGAATTTATTTGCTTGCGTAATATATAAAATAATGTGACAATATATTATTTCAAGAAAAAATTTTGATAATTCATATTAAGATTTACATTCTTTTTTTGTTTTTACAGGCACAATTTTAGAAAATGATATAACAGTTGTTAAAGGGAAATTACTAATAATTTATTTAAAATAATAATTTTTTTTCAATTTATGTACAGTTCCCAGTGAAAATAATAGTGGTGAAAGACCACATCTATTTTTAGCTGCGGTTTCACCACTTTCTGGATTTAGGTATTTGTTTATATACCCAAATCAGACATTAGAACCTGAATTAAAAAGGTAAGTTAAAAAAATAAGGTTTGATATTTGTTTTTATTTTGATTTCCTTTCTGAAACTATGCCAAACTCTTTAGAAATACAAAGAAATTCTCCAAAAAGTGCGTAATGCAAAGGAAATTTCTAATCGATTGTACATTCCTTTGCGCACATATGAACGATATGTCAGTTTACTAAATAAAACTGGCAAAATTTCTATTGGTCACTCTTCTGGCCGTCCAAGAAAATTGG